ATCTCAAACATATACATACAAGTATATGCATACACGCACAATCCTAACTCTTAATGTACCAAGTAATATACACGTGATCAGTGTAGCTCGCGTTACCTTGCTCAACCTCATCAATCTTCTCCATCGACACTGCAACTGTGGTATACGCATCGTACAGCTCCGCCACCTTGGTATAGCACATACCATATACATTTGTCGGAGGCATAAGACATGAAGAAACATACGAAAGGTGAGCAACTCGTTGAATGATTGAGGGGGATGTAGAAGCACGCACAAATGTTGTCCATGAAACACGACAGATCTAGATACACACCGCATACACAATTTCTCACTCTGTAACAAGGTTTTTGTGAGAGTATGCGGATGTCTCCATTGGAGTACCGGTAAAAGTCTGGCTTTAGAAATACTATACTACGAACCCCGCTTAGTTCCTCAAAAGTGATACTATCCATTAACATATCTATCACCTGCATGGTAGTGAGAATTGTCTAGGGATCAAGGCAAGCCACGTCCATATTGAGGTGTAAGGCCAAAATCACACCATAAATCACCAGAATGAGTGCACCTGGCAGTTCTGCAATCAGCTGTGTGAACACACACCGCTGAGGTTGCTCAATGAGGAGGTAGATGGTCGACGGCAAATGTCTAACCATGAACCAATATGCGTGCTACGTGCATTTGTGTATATATATACACACAGGTAAGCTTTTGTACTCGCCATATGAAGCTCACCTCAGCGTTGACGTTCGCCATCTGATCAGCCATTTTCGAGTACCTGGCCGCAGTGATGTTGTTGATCTTCTCCATTAGTGCCAGGTCGTCGATGGGCTGTCCTAATTCGGCTCTGCATGGGGTTACAATGTTCTGTGGTTATATACCAACTAATCAGCACGGACTATCGAATAGTAATAGCAGATACTTACGCAAACCTAAATACAATCCGTAGTAGTCACTACCACAGCCGATTTGTTTGTATTTTGTGCGGTTGCCGTCTCAGCCGCACTAGTGCAGATAGTCCATCTGTGGTTGCGTATGGCATGTACATTGCATACTTTGAACAATAGAAGCCGCATAACATCTTGTACTTTCCAGTGACCCATGCAGCCTGGCTCTGAGGATTGTTGGCCGGATAGGATGATCTTAGCCATATCACCACAGTTTGTGAGATAGGAAAGTTTGAGGCGTGTTTTGACAAGGGATTATTCAACGTTTTTTAGATAGTGTCAAGGTATGTGTAGGTTACGTGGAGAGAAGCTGTGCAGAGCGATTGGACGTTTGAAGTTTGAAAACCGATATATATATACCCAAATCTCCACAAGGTTGACAGATACCTATATATATATATAACCAACTCTCCATAATAATAAGAGAGACGTAATATACCGTAATCTCAATAACGTTGATGTATATATATACCCAACTTTCCATAAGGGTGAGAAAGATGCATATATACCTTTATCCCAATAACGTTGATGCATATATATATATCCAACTCTCTATAAGGGTGAGAAGGATGCATATTTACCTTAATCCTATTCACGTTGATGCACATACATACCCAACTCTCTACAAGGATGAATGAGATGAATAATACCTTACACTTTATAACGATGGTGCACATATGCATACTCGACTCTCTATAAGGGTGAAAGAGAGATGCATATAAAGTAGCAAAATCCCCTAGTCTAGTGAAAGAGAGATGCATATATACCCAATGGTCTGAAAGTAGCAACATCCTCTATAGTGCCAGACGAGTTCATTTTGGCCTATCTTCCTAAGTATGCGACTGGCATTCTGAGACCTAGCGCCTGTGGTAGAATATTCACACCCCGCCGGCATGGTACTTACAAGCCTATCACATCACTGATTGCGTATATATGACACTTGTCGGCATAGAGCAAGTGAACACACAGGCAATAACTCGATTAGTACGATTAGCATAGCACATGGATGTCGTGTAAAGTCTGCGCCCGCCATCGCACAACATTATCGTTTGACCGCATGGCTCATACAAGCTTCGTATCAAGGCAAAATAAACATTATTTTGAAGTGAGGAATTCAAATGTGGGGGTTTGAACTCATTAACTGATAAAGTTGGTATCGTTATAGACAGATTCATCACACGACGACTCTGAACACATTTTGTATGCAAATTGCATACACACGATGCTTGACGGTAGTATCTATACTATTTTTGAGATATCATGCTCTCGGGGTTTATTATACGCCTTGGTGAAATATACGAACTGTATATTCGTGAAGATAGATAGTCTGCACACACACTTACTTGACGTATGCTGCCACTTTACTGAACATTTCGTCGGACAACTGCAGCAGTCGTTCACTGGGCTCGTCCACGATCCGATTGCTCGCCTGACGCAGTAGTCGGTCAGTGTTCGTCTCGCCCATTATGTGATACTCGGTAAATAAAGGTGCATATGTCTGACCACAAACTATATTAACGAAAGTATATCACGTCTCCGAATGTTTATTTATTTCTGTCTGATTATTTTTTCCTTGACTGTGGTCGGTGTATAGGAGGCTATGACCTGTCACTCTATCAGGTTATCACCTATGTCTATGAGCCAAAGCCTATGACTGATCTTACTGAAGTAAAACCGTATTTACTGATTTGGCGGGCGTTTTGAGTGAACGACCCGAACCAGAAATCCAGGTGCAGGACAGGTGCAAACGTGTGACTGCCATTCTGTCACCCACGGCCCACGGCCACAGACCAAAGTCTATAAACCCGGAGCTGATTATTTAGGGTTATCACAACATAAGTAATTGTACACGCGCAAATTGTATCCCTGTCACTGTGTTGTATGGTCTTAAAGTGTACGCATATTTGGATTATCGTAGCACAAACTTGAGATCACGTTGGTGACAGATAGCGTGTATAAGGTACTTTTGTTTATAATGGCGTTGCAAAAGGGTCCATTGGACCTCATCGGTCGGTACGTGCCGCAGGTGCAGAAGATCACCATCTACTACTGCAAGAAGAGTGGCTCCAGCAAAGGACTAAGGTATGAGCTGTCAATAGGGTATATTAGTGGCAAACTCACTGGTTTTAACTGAAATGAATGTATCTAGATAAGATTCAAGGTACTAGCTTCTGCTACCGCATATCATATGCACACGGTCTACCATCAAAGTGTGCATCGTACGACTATATCAGTGAGCTTCTCTACTACTCTGAGAAGTAGTATCTATTCAGAACCGACAAATGGCACATATGTGATATCTTTGCTATCGTAATATATATATTTAAATATATACTATATAAATATATGTATGTATACTATATATATATATGTATATATATAGTATACATAAACACACGCACACACATATATATATATTAATATATGCATATATATATTTATATAT